GCTTTTTTCATGTCCAAGAAGTTGATGATCAGAGGTTTCCTGCAATCAACCATGGCGGTAACATTGTTCAGGAACTCCAGCTGGCATGTTTGCAGGATTTAGACGGGAGAAATCCATGTTGGGATTGGTTGATGAGATTACGATGTGTCAAGAACCGTAGGAGCTCTTCCTTGACGATCCTCTCCATCACCCGTGAAGCGAATGGGGTGTGACTAATAGGTCGGTAGTTTTCAATGTTTTGACGGCTTCCCCTTTTGTGCCTTGGCATGAATACTGCATATTTCCAAGCGGAGGGAAATGTTCCATGTTCCATGGACAGGGTAAAGATGTTAAGAAGGAGGACGGCTATATCCAGGCCACCTAGAATTAGCAGGGCCGATGTGAAACCATCAGGTCGGGCATGGAAGGATAATTTGAGGGCTTGAACTTCTCTAGTAAAGTTGTGCAGGTCAAATGGTACTGCGCGTAAGTTATCATGGGTGCAACTAGGAATATTAAGGGGCAGTGTCAGGTTAGCAGAGGTGAAGGAGTCGCAGAAGTAGCGGTTCATGACCTCACATATTTCAGCTTGGTTACTGGTAACTGAGTTGTCCGGACGAATAATCGAGTTAATCGAATTCGAAGCGGGGTTGCTTCTGCGCCTCATCAGGGAAGTGAGGGCTTTTATACAGTTGATAGAGTATAGGGCAGTGTGTTCTTCGGACAGAGTTGCGGTAGTTAGTGAATTCCTCAACTCCAACAGGACTTCATTGATGCAAATAAGGAGGAAGTAATCTTGGGTCCTGCTGTACTTCGAACGTAGCTTTTTGAGCTTGACGAGAAGTTTGCGAGGGGGCTGCGTCCTGCGGTGACTGTGTTGCTTTTTGGTTCGTTATAGGTGAACTTGTATCCAGGCAGTAATTGAGATTTCCATATAGTACAGAAGAGGTATTGTCCGCGTCTGTAGCCAGAAAGAATGCACCCCAGCTGATGGATGTCAGAAGTAGAGCAAACTTTGTCCAAATGATGCGTTTGAAGGGCAGAACAGAACACGCTCTTCTAGCCTCTGGGGACGAGTGATGGGTAGTTGGAAAGAGAGTTTTACTATTTTGTGATCGCATCCAGGAAGATTATCAAGCACCTTAGCAGATGCATGTGCAACTCCGTTTGCAAAAAGTAAATCTAAGGTGTTATTGTGCCTAGTGGGTGCACGCACGTGTTGAGTCCACCCGAATGTATATGTGCTGTCCACAAAGGCACGGAATTTGGGTGGCGCAGATTGTGTTTGTCAAGCCACTTGTCGCATGTTGAAGTCACCACCGATTACCTTATAGTGGTTAGGCAATAGGGACACTTCTGTGAAGAGTTCCACTAGACTGCATATACCGATTGTGTTAGTGTGTGGAGGATTATACAGACAGCCAATTATTGATAAACTGAATCAGCTGGAGAATATGATCAAGAATACTCCTTACCCGCAAAAGCCGCGTCAAAATGAACAAAGCCGATTTCCCGAGAGGGAACGAAGTTTGATCATCGTAAACGCCCCTAAGTCTAATAAGGAATCCTCGGCTGCAAGGATATTGGAGAACTAAGCGTTGCTGAGGCAGGTGGTTGCGTTAAGGTTCGATGCTGGGGAAAAGGACACTAACTTCGTTTACGCTTTTCGCCTCGGCGGGAAGCAGGATGACTCCTCGAAAGTTCGCTCCCTAAATGTGGTCTGTCAAGATGAAGAGGAATGCTACCGTATCCTCCACCAAACCTCACGCTGGAAAGGAGAAACGTTCTAAGTTTTGTGAGGCCGCTCCCCAGAATATCGAGGTAAAATAAAGCAGGCCGTTGATGAACTACTAATCTGACGAGCAAATGTTGAAAGCTACCTTCACATTGGGGATCGCCGAGTAGTAAAAGGAACCCCGAGGATTCTTTGGAAACCAATCTTCTTCCTTCCAGTGCACTGGGAAGCAGGAGTGGATTGCTATCGGCGAACGTGCGTAGCTTGAGAAACAAATTGGGTGCCATTCTACTCATGACCTCTGAGCAAGAACCCGATCTGATGGTTTTTACGGAGACTTGGCTAGACTCGGATATTTCAGTCTCGGAGGTATTTATCCCAGAGTATCAACTATCCCTTGCGGATCGTATAGGAGGGAGATCCGGGGGCGGTGTTGCTTTTTACTGGAAGGCAGAACTTAAGGTTCACACAGTGGATACCATGTGAGACCTCGATGGTGTTCAGACTGCTCATAGTTAGCGTTGTCTACAGATCCCCATTGGCGGCAGGATCCCTTCTGCTAGACTCTATGAGAATACAGGGGAAGGCAAAGATCGTTTGCTTGTGGGGGACTTCATTGCTACGGCCGTAGACTGGGATGCGCCTCATTTTATTTTATCTCCAGACACTTTTGATACGCGTTTATTAGAAATAGTCCTCGAACGTAACCTAACGCAACATGTTTCATCACCGCCCAATTTTTTCCAGGCCATGAGTCACACATCCTTGACCTTGTGCTCACACCTGGCTCATCAGCTGTCCCTGCTCTAGCCATTCTTTAGCATCTTGGCAAAGGTGATCAATGTGTAGCCTCCATTTTGTGGACACGACAGCTAGGTATCAATGTCCAAGAAGTGCAAAGCCGAAATTTCTGGCGAGCTATCCTCTCCGCTCAAACTTGGCTGCTAGCCTCAAGGACTGGAACATCCATCATCAGTTGGATCTGGACGCTGCTTGGGACCTTTGTGCTCCAAGATAATGTTTAGCCTTGATCGGGGCACAACATAAGCTTTCTCCAAAGGGCCCCATAGATAGCTCGGGAAAGCAAATAGTTCATGCAAAGAAGGCCAAGTCTTTGGGGCCGGTTCAAGTTCACGCAGACCGCACAAGCTTGCCCTCCTTACAAAGAGGTTAGGAATTTATGCACACTGTGGAAGCGCGAAAAGCGAGAATTATATGAGCAGCCCCTGGCCTAGCAATCTGCTTTTAGTCCGAAAAAGCTTTTCGTACACCTAGAAGGAAGCACCAAAGATGACTACGGAATACCCGCACTGTATTCAAGCAACGAGAACACCATGCTTCATGCTGACATGGCGAAAACTTGTCTACTAGCTTCTCTATACTCCGCTGTGTATACGACGGAGGCGTCATTAGTCGTTGATGATGCTCCCTGGCACCCCTCTCCATTAGAGAATGTTGAAATTACCACTGACAGAGTACTGGAAGAGCATCTCGACTTGAACTCGAATTCTTTACCGGGTACGCTGGCTTACATCCCTTGTTCCTTTAAGTGGTGGCGGAGTTCATTGCCGCACCAATTTGTCAAGCATTTCGAAGCTCACTTGTGGCAGGTCGTCTCCCAACTAAATTGAAAGCGAATGTTGTGAAACAGAGGTACAGAAGTGGGAACCGCCAAGCTACCGTGAACAACCTACCGAGTTGTCTGTCAGCAACCATGGAAAAGATTTGGAAACAGGCCTTGCACCTTCACTTTGAGTAATTGGACGTCATCTCACTTGCTGAGCACGGATTTCGGAGGGCAAGAGCATGCATTACCAATCAGCTTGTTGCCCAAGAAATGTGGGCGAAGTCAGTAGATGCTGGCCATGGACTCGAAGTACTTTTTGTGGATTTCAGCAGAGGGTTTGCTAGGATTCTACACAAGCGACTTCTTACCAAACTACGGCAGATTGGCATCGCTGGTAATTTGCGCGCCTAGATCGCTGGTTTCCTAGCTGACCGTAGTATGAAGTTGAAGGTTAACGAAGTTCACCCTGGTCCTGTTCTTATGAGCAGTTGGGTTCCACAAGGCTCCGTTCTAGGTCCCGAACAATTCAAATCTTTAGCAACCATCTCCCGGTGCTCCAGATCGAGTGCTTGCTCTATGCATATGATCATAAACTGTGGTCGAAAGTATCCGGGCTTGAAGATACTGACAGGTTGAAACTGAAGCTCGAGCTGCTGCAAGGTAGGCCTGTCATGTGGCAAGTGCTTATCAATCCTGATAATAGCTGTGTTCTCCCGATGGGTGATCAGGAACCTTTCGGTGCATAAAGTATCGGTGGTTTTCTGCTGAAGTAGGTGGTTGGTAAGAAACATTTGGGTGTATTCATTTCTCCAGACCTAAGAACAACCCAGGACACGTTGCGGAAAGTAGCATCTGCCAACAGAATGCTTGGTGTCATACGAAGGTCGTTCTACAAATTGACTCCGCAGAACTTCAGGCTCCTGTTTTCCTCTCAGGTTCATCCAATAATGGAATAGCGCCCACCTGCCATACACCTACGCATGAACTTTGAATGACAATTAATTGTGAAGTTTCGGAGACGCGGATCCAACTCTGTGTCTATGCTACGTGCTTTACGTTAACCCTTCGTCTCCAATGTAGGAGCTTATTTATTCAGGACTACCGACGTCCCCGTGGTGTTCTGATTTACACTAGAGGCATTTTAAGGGGCGTTTTAGGGAAGGAGGTGCTGCAGTTCTTCCAGCTCAACACAGACTGTTCAACACGGGCCACAGATTGAAACATTTTAAACCTCGGCGAAACCATATCCGGTCCGATATCGCGTTATCCACACTGGTTGTGAATGAGTGGAACAATCTCCCTGCATGTGTGGTAAGTGCCCACACCGAGGGGTCTTTTAAAAACGATTAGACAAGTACATGAAGCGCATGCCTGGATTCCGCTGTTTTTGCTGATCCTGAAACCATCCCTCGGGGAACACAGTTTAGCAACGACATGTCATCCAGCCAATGAATGGGAAGTGTTGGAGCTGACACGGGTTTTCCTTTCTGCTCTCTATGAACTCTATGAACCCTATCGTTATTGTCTAAATTGAACTTGAACACGGCCAATTACGTAGGCAGTTGTATATTATGCATATTATATTACACATACTATACATAACAATAATATTCTGACCAACATATTCAGATAATTATACGTGATATGCCTATACATCATATGTAACGTTTACATGTGAAATATAGCCTCCGAAAAATTGGTCCCACAATGTGTGTTATTCGCAGCCAAGTCTTCCATTATAGTTGGTCCGGCAACTCCTCAACGCTCGAGCCGTGGGCGCCAGCTCAGTTGCATGCCATGTGTATGTCGTGCGGCTAATGTGGTGTCCCGCTTAACGTGGGATGGCTGAGCTGTCATTTCTGTCCACCGACGTAGATAATGATCCCGAAAATACGGAAGATGACAGCCTTTATACTGGCGATGCGATCGAAACTGTCAACCAATCTGGAAGTTCAAAAAAGACGCTGATTGTGAGTTATTTAACTCTGATCATATGTAATTTAGAATACTTTCGATAACATAACAGAATACCGGTACGTGGTTTTCTTTTGCGGCCCCTATTTTTAAAAGTGAAAAAACGGTGGAAATATGCCAAAATACTGTGAATCCGCACAACCGTGTGAACGCTGAAAATTTTAACATCCAGAGAGTAATTGGTAAAGGGGGATATGGGAAGGTATCTGCGACCGATTTGAGTCAGTTTTCTGGAGGTATTCTTAGTGCAGAAAGTAGATGGTGTGGATCAGGGAAAGTTATATGCAATGAAAGTTCTCAAGAAGGCTCGCTTAGTTTGCAACGAGAAGGATAAAGCCCACACAGTCTCCGAGAGAAACATCTTACAAATGCTGCGTGTACGCTCTAATTTTCTCTTTATTTTCAGTACAGCACCCGTTTCTAGTCAAATTACACTATGCGTTTCAAAATCATTCTAATCTGTACATTGTTTTGGAATACTGTCCAGGTGGTGAACTTTTCAACTACTTGGAGCGTGAAGGAGCTTTATTGGAAAATGCCGCATGGTAACCCTTTGACAATATTATTTTAAAACAGTTTTTATGCTTCTGAAATCATCTTGGCCATCGGTCATTTGCACTCCCTGGGGATTATTTATCGGGATCTTAAGTCAGAAAACGTGCTGCTAGACCGGCAAGGTCATGTCAAACTTACAGACTTCGGTCTCTCTAAAGAAGGTTTTTGCACCACGAACACCTTTTGCGGAACAATTGAATACATGTGAGTTGTACGTTTTACCATGCACAGTTAGGGCTCCCGAGATTATCAAGTGTGAAGGTCATGGAAAGGCAGTAGACTGGTGGAGCCTCGGAACTCTCCTGTTTGACATGCTTTCAGGTGGTGTAAGTTTTATTCCTTCGTAACTGCAAGTTCTTTCAGCCACCATTTAGCCAGGAGGAGAGTAGAGAGGCCACAACCCACAAGGTACTATGCCTTCAACTACTGCAACTTCTGACAGATTCTAACCGCTGCTGTCAAGTTTCCACCTTCGTTCTCACCTGAGGTTACCAGCCTTATTCGTGGTTTGTTGAAACGCGATCCCAAAGAACGGCTTGGTAGCAAAGAAGATGTAGAAGAAATCAAACGACACAAATTCTTCCGATGCCACGTTAGTATAAACCGGTTATATTTACATTTTGTTTCGTGATTTGGCGTCTTCCGCAGACCTCTCACGAAACACGCAATAACGACTGGGTGCTGTTTCGAGTACATTCATTTCTGATCCCCGACTCGTTCGTGTGGACCGGGATACTAGTTTTCACTTTCCACTCGCTGCCTTTATTTATTTGTACTTGCTTTTTTCCTAATCTGTTTTTGGGGCATGATTTTGATCTATTTTCAACCCACTATTGCGTACATGCCTAACTCATTGAGTAACTTCCATCTGGATTTTACCAATTTAATTGTATAGTGACCTAGGGATTCCCCGTTTGGCTCTGTGCATTAGTCTAAAACAATCTAAAATTATAGTTTTTTATGGATTAAGGGATTTAGTGGTTTGTTTGTTTGTCTGAGTATTGCTCCCGTTTGTTTTTCACACGTAAAACACGCAGCCGCTCTGCGACCAAAACGGACGCGACCTGCGACTCTCGTTCGCCTTCACACTGAGCACATTTTCATATCCTCTCTAGCTACCTCTTCTCTGGTGCCTTATATTTAGCTTTAGTGACCTCTCAATAACCCTTTTCTGGATTGTTTTTGTTTTTACTGCCGCTGCTTTTTGGTTGGCCGTTTAGCTGTGAATCTGACATGTAGCGCACAACCGAGGCACCATACTTGTATTCGTGTACTCCGATACCTTCTGAACCAAAGATTTTTCATTATCAGTTGCTTTCGCTGTTATTGAAGCGCTCATTTGATTGACAAACATGTAGCTGTTCTATCAAGAGCGTTTGACAGCCATGACAATACTCATCGAGTATTCCTTAGCTCCCCTTACCTATGCACTACGGGATTTTGTTCCTTCTTTGCGCGTCACTAAACATGCAGCACCCGTGGCGATAAAATGCACCGGCCCAAATTAAGCAAATTTTTATCTGCTTTTCCCTTGTCTATGCTTGTTTGAGCAGCTTTAGTGGCTGGTAAACTCAAGAAAAAGTGACACTCGCGTTTCTATTGCTCCTTTGCTTGGATGATCGCAAACTTTAGAACATACAGTATATTTATGAAGTGACCGATCTAGTTCATTTTCACATCAGTGTTCTCACTATATTATCTTTCCTCTTCGCGACTATCGCTAAAAGCTGGGCGCATGTTGCATTTCTGTTTTCAGATATGCTTCGTGTACACAGTAATTCCTCGTACTTTAGTCCATATCATTGGCTTTTAATGGGATGGTTTTCTCCTTCACAACGACCATGAGTTTCGGGCCTCCAAGCAGCAAATGCCGCTTGTATTCTTCATCCCGGATGCAGAAACTACACCATGGAGCTGTGCTGTGTGGTGCTTATTGTATCTTCAGATCAACTCGTACTATCTTTTCTTATGTTTATAAATGACAGCTCCTCTTCTTGAGGATTTCTCTATATCTTCACAGATGACTTAGCTAGTCAGTAGGGGAAACCGAGCGACATTGGCTAAGGACATAATCACTGAGATGAATTGGTCGAGCCAATGGGATCTACCTCTGAATAGCAATAAATGTCAACTATTGACCAATAGTGGTAGCGGAACTGCAGTTCAGTCTCCTGCGGGCTCTCTATCATTGCGGTGTACTGATGAAGCTCGCGATCTCGATGTCATCATAGTGAAAAATTTTATGCCCCCCCCCGCGCAGTGTCGCCATGCTGCCAATAAAGTGCGACAAGTCATTTGGTCTTAGGAGGGCGCTGAGTAACACTAAAGCAGAAGTATTCTTGTTGTTATATAAAGCGGTGGTTAGGCCCCTGTTTTCAACCCCCCAATTCTCGGCCCTCCCCCACCTCGCTTCAATAGTCGCTTGCCTTTTAGTTTCAACTTACATGTGAACGCGGAGCGTCATTCCTGCCCTGTCAACAGGCCCATCTCCAAGCAAGCGGTCAAGCCCAGTTCATCGGCTTCCATTTGGAGCCCTACATCCTCCTTCAGATTGGCATGCCTCAATGTTCGCACATTGCTTTAAATCGGTCAACAGGCAACACTTGCCCGAACATTAGCGACCCTCTCCATAGATATCTGCTGCGTATAGAAGACCCGTCTGCAAGACTCGAGCTCTGTGCTCACTCTGCGATCCCCTTCAGGTGACACTAACAGCACTTTCATTGCGCCTATCCGGTGACGATACAGCTTCGAGCACCGGCCAAGCCGATGTTGGTATTGCCCTGAGTTTCGGGCTGTAACTGCTCTGGTTGATTGGATTCCAATCAGTAGCCGGATGTGTGCGGTCCGATTGGCTGTCTCGTTCAAAACTTCGAAGTCGCGTGGGACTAACAGGTGTCTATTCGTTATCGCTGCCTATGTACCGACAAACTGTAGCGATGACTCGGTAAAAGACGACTTCTATCGTTAACTGAATGAGCTCCTTAGCCACAGAAGAAGCTCGGACACTGTAGTGCTGGCTGAGGATCTGAACGCACAAGTTGGAGAATTATTCACTAGTGAGCTGCATTTGGGCGGCCAACATGGTGTAGGCTCCCGTAATGATAACGGTGAGGGGTTACTTCATTTGGGTGAGCACTAATGTGTTGAGCACTAATGTCCGACACAGCACCCGCTGGAAGGTGACTTCGCGCCCACCAGCTTTGGACGCAAATCGATAACATTGCGATAAGTTACTGCTAGAGAGACTGCATCCATAACTGTCGCTCGATTTGGAGCACAGGTGTGGACACCGATCATGCAATTGTATGTGCTGACCTGCGGATGCGCTTTGGCCGACGCCCAAGACGACGTTGTGAGCGCATTGACACCAGCCAACTGGCGAAGCCAGCTGTTCTGAATGCCTGTCAAAGTACGCTGTTATGCGAGTTGGATAAACGCTCACTGGATGCAATTGAAGCTTACTGGTCTCATATTCACCAGACCTTACTTGCAGCAGGAAAATCCTCATGTGGTATGTCTAATCATAAACATGGGCATTGGGTCTCTTCACAGTCTCTGGAACTTACAGATGCTCACCGGCATATTCCGGCTGGAAACGAACACAATGAAACTCGCAAAGAGCTCCGGGCAAAACTCCGTTGTAGCCTGAAGAGAGACCGCGAATCCTGGTGATCTCATCGTGCATCAGAGATGGGAATGGCCGCTGCCCTTGGTAACCACCGTAGGTTATTCCGTCTGATACGGGAAACTGGCAGCAGGAGACCTGGTGTTAGTGAAACAATTTGTGACGAGAGTGGACAGCCTATCTACAACTTGTCAAGACGCTTGGAGCGTTGGGCTGAGCACTTTGAAAGGCAATTTAATCGGCCGGAATTGTTAGATTTCTCGCCGGCCACTGCTCGCCCTGCTCCGTGGGCTGTCCCTTTGGATCCACCCTCTCGCTCAGAAGTCGAACGTGAAATCGGACTGTTGAAGTTCAATAAAGCCGCGGGACCTGATGATCTTCCTCTAGCTTTTTTCAAATTCGGAGACCTGCTCTTGTGGATAATTTACACGAATTACCGGTTAAACTGTGGGAGCAAGAAACTGTCCCAATCGACTGAAGCCGCTCTGTCATAGTCCCAATGTTCAAGGGAGGCTCACGATCGGAATGCGGCAGCCATAGAGGAATCAGTCTGATCTCCATCGCCCCCAAACTGCTTGCCTCTGTCATCCTTCACAGACTGACTGGCACGCGTGAAAATCAGATTCGTGAAGAACAAGCCGGGTTTCGTCGTGGTCGTGGCTGCATTGACCACATCTTCACCTTGCGTCAGTTGCTGGAGCACCGTCACATATATTGCGGCCCACCGTAGTCGTGTTCCTCGATATCAAAGATGTATTCGATTCGGTGGATAGACTTCCACTTTGGGACTGTCTACTCAGGAAAGGTGTACCTGAGAAATATGTAAAAATTATCCGAGCATTATATGCGCGTAGCTCGGGCAAAGTGAGGGCTTACGGCAAGTTGTCCTCGCCCTTTAATATCTCCAGCGGTGTGAGACAAGGATGCCCGCTGTCACCTTTCCTCTTTCACTTCGCTATTGACGTAGTCATGGAAATCGCGTTCACAGGACACGACTTAGGTGTGGATCTGCTCCCAGGAGAACTACTTCTTGACTTAGAGTATGCTGATGATATTGCCCTAATCTGTGACAGCTCCCAGACGTGCCAAACGGCACTGGACAGATTAGCACTAGCTGTCAACCGCTTCGGGCTTTGCTTTGCACCCTCGAAGTGCAAAGCGTTCCTCCAAGATTGGTCTTGACCGCCTCCTTCGCTGTCCCTTGGTGGGGATCAGCTAGAAGTCGTTCATAAATTCAGCTACCTGGGAAGTTGTATCAGCGCCCGTGGGCTTGCAGATATCACGAACCGTATAACAAAAGCTCGGGGCGCTTCTGCTAATCTTCACCAATTATGGCGCTGGCGCGACATCACTCTTGCCTCGAAGGGTAGAGTGTACAATGCAGAAGTACGTTCGACCCTACTGTACGGTTGTGAAACCTGGCCGCTTAAAGCAGCGGACCTGAAGAGGCTAGTTATGTTCGACCACCGGTGCCTTTGCAATTTAGCTCACATCTGGTGGGAACACCGCGTGAGCAACGAGCGTGTTCGACACCTTGTTTACGGCACAGGAAAAGGAAATGAACCGCTCAGCAGCGTTATTTCACGCATCAGGCTCCGATGGCTTGGCCACGTGTTACGCATGCCAGCCCACCGACTCCCGCGACGTGCATGGTTTTCGCGCCGAGTGTGTGGATGGAAGAAGAGGAGGGGTGGCCAAGCGATGACTTGGTCGAGAGGAATGAAGGCGCTCACTTCTGAGCTGGCCTTGGTTGGAGCGTCTCGGCTCCCTGGTTGGGGTCCGAAAGACGATGAACACGTTTGGCTGGATACACTTGCTGACATAGCAAAGAGCCGACCTCAGTGGCGTTCGTGCTGTGAGTTTCTTTGTCCCACCTCATCCCTCTTAGCCTCCCCCTCCAACCACGATCTCATTATTTAGCCTTATATAATTTTGCATAGTAATTTTCTTGATGCACAGTAGCC